TGGTTGCAGTTTCACATCACCAAAGTTAATAATTTTGGAATTATGAACGCTTGTTGATTATTATTTGAAAGTTTTTAACATTTTTCGAAATGTATATTAAGAAAGTTGAGGAGGGGGGGGGACGGACTATTGGTCCTCACCTCGGTCCTCACTGTAGGTATGTATACCTATTTAATATCAATATTAACAGACACTCTGTATGTATCAGAATTAGTATAACACATGACACTTATCACTAATCAATCGTTTTGTCGTTCTTGCTGTCGTATTTGTAATTTGTTATACTACCTATACAGGGTGGCATTGAAATAAGTACAAATATCTCAAAGAGAGAGAGAAACTCATTACCACACTAGTTCATAAAATAAACGAAAAAAGGTAGATAACGAGAGAAAAACAACTACTTTCCTGGCTATATGACACGCAGAACATTGAATTACATCCTGTCAGTATCTATGCAACGATAAGTAAGGACGAGCAAGGTTGCAAATGTTTCTTTTCTAAACGCTGAATTGTACTTAAATTGATCAGGAACGTATGGATTACCTGCAGACCAGTTTCAAACATTTGGCTTTCATCAGTGCAGGTTTGTCTTGTCCCCAGATAGCATTCATGACCGCTATCTGATGCGAAACGCGAACGCCGAACGCCATCTGGCAAGGAAAGAAACACTCCAAAACAAGATCCCATTTCAGATGAAATGGAAGTGGCTGGTTGCACGACTGGCGTAATTTCAACTAGGAAAAAGCCAAATACTCAAAGTGGAATGCAATGGTCACAAAGAGAGGAATAAATCTACTTATTTCACTGGTTGCTGACTACCCCGCAGAGGTGTCGACCATTTTAATGTCGATTCTCGAACACCGTCTATCAGATTGAAATTAAATGATTGAAAAACACTTGACATGTAAAGATTATAATGCAACATCATTTCATAATCTGGAAGACTCCTAAAAACTTTCGTAAGAACTAAATAACTAAAAAATACTTATTTCCAAACATTTCATGACAGTCGGCAGTCCATACTTTTTTTGGGAAGCCGACACGAGTGCCGACCATACAGTGGAATACATTCAATAAATGATTGAAAAACACTTGACATGACATGTAGACATTACAATGCAAAAATCATTTTATACTCAGAAGACTTCTAGTTCTAACTACTCTCGTAAAAAGTAAATAACTAAAAAATACTTATTTTCAAACATTTCATGACAGTGGGCAGTCCTCGGGGCAGTCTATACTTTTTTGGGAAGCCGATCAGTCGAAAGACTACTTTTGATCGATCTAAGACTGTTATTCGCACCTTTGGTTGTAGCACAGTGGTTAGACATTGGCTTATCAATCATGTGGTACCGTGTTCAAATCCCACATGGGATTTTTTTTATTATTTTGTTTTCTCATCAGATTTTTGTTTCACTAATCGGTTAGTCTTTTCATAGGTATTTTGTTTTTTATTCTAATCTAGTTTTTCCTTCCTCCATTGTTAGTTCACAAGATCTTTTTGATTAGGTTTGTGTTCTATCTGTACTTCCAATAGGTTATTAGCACAGATATCAACTAGCACTTTTCAAATATGGACGATTGCACAACCTCTATTAATGACAGACGGTTATCAAATGATTTATTGTGCGAAAAAGATCGACTCTTTTCCCACTCTGTCAGCTATTTATGTATATATAATATACCGGGTGTCCCAACAGTGCGTATTTGCTCGATATCTCGATAATGCTGTAAAATATAAAAAAAGTTTCATATACAAGTTTTATGGCACCACAAAGGCCACATTTTAAAAATAGTCCCTGATTCACAGGGTGTTGCATTTTTCCGTAATAACAAAAAATATGTATTTTTTAAATAGAACCACCCGTTTATTTTCATGTACTTGAAATGGTCCCTTCGTTGCCTACTCAGCACTGAATTTTTTTTTTCGACACAATGCACCGTTGCTAAGTTATTAATTTTTTCGAAAAAATCGGGAGTGATGCAGGCTGTGAATGAAATAACTGTGATTGAGCTATTCCTTCGAAGATCTGAATTCTGCCTGGTGGATTGACGTAAAGAATACCAAAGTAGCGTGTAATACTCTGAGCTCCATCGATATTCATACAGGGTGCTTCAACTATTCCTTTCATTTTCGTCCACTACGATTCAAATTTATGCGATTTTTTCAAATGGGACACCCTGTATATAAGTTCGACTTCTCTTTCTACATGACATAACCTATCTGAGGATACCATCATGTTACATGTTATTCCTAACAGTTTCTTGATTATTCGTGTTTTTCAAATTATTCTTGGGGAATTGCAAGAAATACCTGCATAATATTTTAATTTCAAAACAAAAGGAACGACAATAATAACACTCATAATACATGTTCGAAATGTCTTCCACCCTGTTCAATACATTTTCTCAATCTCTTCATGAAGTTTGTTCTCACATTGCTCAAATGAAAAGGCATAATTCGTTGAAATGCCTCACGAATTCTCATTTTCATGTCCTCCCGTGTAGTAGCAGCATTACGATAAACCTCCGATTTTACTGTTCCCCAAAGATAAAAATCCATTGATGTTAGGTCCGGCGACCTAGGCGGCCAAGGAATAGGTCCTTCTCGTCCTATCCACTCATCAGGAAACATTATATTCAACTCCTCTCGAACTTCTCTCAGAAAATGTGCTGGTGCCCCATCTAGCTGAAACCACATTTCATTTTTGATATGATTAGGTAGATGTTCAATCAACCTGGGAAAGTCTTCTCTGAGGAATCGCAGAAACTCTTGTCCATCCAGTCTTCGTTCGAAAAAATATGGTCCGATAACATAATTATCCACAATACCGCCCCATACATTAAGGCTCCATTTATGTTGATAATCGTTAACAAGAAGTTTATGTGGATTTTCGGTACTATAATAATGATAGTTGTGCCTATTTACGAATCCATTCCTGTAGAAGGTACTTTCGTCGGTAAACATAATGCTTTTCAGAAATCTTGCATTTTCCGTTATTTTATTTTGCATCGTCCGACAAAACTGCACTCTTTTCATAAAATCAGCTTCTATCAACTCATGGTGCAGTTGCACATGATAAGGGTGAAATTTGTTAGATTTCAAACTCCTGGCAACTGAAGATTTCGATATCTCTAAATCTCTGCTTATTTCCCTCACACTCAACTCAGGATTCTCTACCACTGCAAGACTAATAGCTAATTGGTTTTCATCAGTCAATATTGTTTTAGCGAGATTCTTTTTATTGTATCCGATGTTTCCTGTTCTCTCGAATCTTTCCTTTAATGTTTCAAAACTTTTCACTTGTGGATGCCTTCTATCAGGATATTTTGCAGCATACATACGGGAAGCCAACAAACAATTTTCTTCACCAGTACCCAAAGCATACACCATTCCAATCAACTCTTCCTTTGTAAAATTCATAATGAATAACCACAGCTTTCAAGCTTCAAGCAAATCACACAACAGGCTGTCAACAAATGTCAGTACTTATTATTTTTATTGATTTTTGGCGATATTTAAAATCATAGCCAACTGCTTTTTACCGTTTGGTAAAACCTTGGGTAAAACATTCTACAAAAACGCGGATAATTGAAGATATCTCATAGTCCAGAACAGAAAATGTATCGAACAGGGTGGAAGACCTTTGAAAATGATTATTGTCTTTCCTTTTATTTTGAAATTCAAATATTAGGCAGGTATTTGTTGCAATTTCCTAAGAATACTTTGAAAAACACAAATAATCAAGAAACTGTTGGGAATAACATATGACATGTTGGTATCCACAAATAGGTTATTTCATGTAGAAAGAGAAAACGAACTTATATACAGGGTGTCCCATTTGAAAAAATCGCATAAAGTTGAATCGTAGTGGACGAAACTGAAAGGAACAGTTGAAGCACCCTGTATGAATATCAATGAAGATCAGAGTATTATACGCGACTTTGGTATTCTTTACGTCAATCCACCAGACAAAATTCAGATCTTCGAAGAAACAGCTCAATCACAGTTATTTCCTTCACAGCCTGCATCACTCCCTATTTTTTCGAAAAAATTAATATCTTGGCAACGGTGCATTGTGGCGAAAAAAAAATTTAGTGCTGAGTAGGCAACGAAGGGACCATTTTAATTACATAAAAATAAACGGGTTGTTCCATTTGAAAAATACATATTTTTTGTTATTACGGAAAAATGCAACACCCTGTGAATCAGGGACGATTTTTAAAATGTGGCCTTCGTGGTGCCATAAAACTTTTATATGAAACTTTTTTTTATATTTTACAGCATTATCGAGATATCGAGCAAATACGCACTGTTGGGACACCCGGTATATATATATATAAGTGAATTGGTCCATAACCCATGTTCTAGTAATTTGGATGGTATAAGCGAGGGCACCTATAAGGAATATTTCTTTTATTAGGTATTTTGTCTCAAATGCCAGAACGGTCGAGAACCAGGGCCGGTCGGTTAACCAGTGCATCCGAGGGTGAATCTACCCTATAGGTATCCAAAATCAATTGCAGAATAGGTATTCCGCACCGCGTGGCGTGGCGTCGGCGGGTTCGAAGTTACCTTTGAAGCGACTTTGGAGTTAGTGCAGGTGCGGCAAGAGGCGCTCCATTCAAAACAAATTTCAAACCAGCCGACGCCGCGCGGTTCCGGATATGTATAGGTATTCCGAGAGGTATTCTGCAATTGATTTTGGATATACCTACTAGACCTACTGTTCATTTCATAAGCGTGTGATTAGGTGTACGTGTACCTTTCTGAGGTTTATTATTGTAATGAAATCAAATATTTATCACTCGCAATAATGGCAATATGAAAAGCCGGTTGAGAGATGATAATATCGGTTTCATCAGAACCTAGGAGTTGGTGCAAAGAACGTGAATGTAGCTATAGTAGCTAGCCATGCATGATTCCCAAAATATGTAATAAAAGTGGGAAATTAGTATAACAACAGGCAGGGGTAAGTAAATATTTGAATATTTACCTCAGTGAAAACCACCTGCAATAATAAAAATCAGAACCACTATGCAATAGTCCGTTGTTTCCACAAACTAAAAGTTCTCGACACTCGGACACATTATCGGACGAACACAATTTCATAAAATCCGTCTCGTAATAATTATTGATAAACATCTCATAGAATGCCTCCGTAACGTCGTACGCCGCCCGCGCTCGCAGCTAAACTCGAACATTTTACAGTCCCATGTGCGGTTTTCATTATACGCGAGCTATTTTTAGTGCCTGATGTCATGTCGGAGAGCCTCCATTCGCTATTCATGACATCATGTTGAACGCTGATTGGATATAGGAGCTGTTACCAAGTCACGACTGCCGATACAAGTTGCCCGCCAATGCGATTATCGCAGATTGAAAACAAATGAAGTTTTTCGAGTTATTTTTTCTTCCGAATATTAATTTGTGTCCGTAGCAGAGTAGCAGACGTAGCATCAGCGCGCTAGATTTTGACGCTTATTTGTTAATGTTGATTGTCGATGAACGACTGTCCCACTTCTTGGATGCTGAGAGGCAATGCCCAATGGCAATGCATTTTTACTATTTAGGTAGATTGGCAAAATTATGTTTTTAAATGTTCTGTGACCTATTATTGTTACACATAATTAATTAGTAATTATGTTAATCGTCTATCGCAGAAATCAGTACAAAAGTAATAAGTATATATTACTAATTAAATTACACATTTTGTTAATTTGTTTGGTAGGACGATGGGTAGGTATAGGACCGCAGCCGATTTTATCGAAGATACCCGAATGCACTGCACAGTGGCGTAACAGTGCAGCCACGGGCACGTGACAAGTGGAAAGTTTTGCTGTTTTGCGGCTTCTGCACATACCTATACTTATGAGTACTTCGATTTATGATGTGGTGGGGGAGAATGGAACTCAATGAGACAATATTTCGTTTATAGAAAAAAATCGACTTTTGATCCATTGATGCTTTACTCATGTTCAATTTGGACTTTTTATGCATAATACCTATATACATACCAAGTTAAACTCGAAAAAGTAAGGATTGAATGAAGTGTTTTTTATGTATTTTTCTCAATGTGGCCCAAGAAGTGGTCAAATCGTATTCCACTATTTCCACTGAGGGGAACAAGATTTTATTCAGTTGAGAAATATATATAACATGGAATTTGTTGAAAATGAAAACAAAACATTTGTAGCTTTGAAATTGACGATTCATCTTATTTCTATGGACTGAAAATTTTTTCAGAACTTATATAATTAGATCTTGATGCCGCTTACGAAAGCGTAGTACAGTACCTTGATAGGTACTGTATTACGCTTTCGTAAACGATGATGATGATTTATTGTTTCTCTGAAAGACTATCCTCTGAATGTGGACATTTTTCTCTGAATTCCGACTTTTGTCCCTGAATTCAGACTTTTTTCTCTGGATTCAGACTTTTTTCTCTGCATGAATTCAAACATTCTTCTCCGAATTCAGACTTTTTTTTGAATTCTTTCTATTTTTTCTGAATTCAGATTGCTCTGCTAAGCGAAAGTGCCGTATGTAAAACGCCGTATACCTATGTCATAATTAGTGGAAAAATTCGTCGAATTTGTTTGCTGTACAAAATTCACTGTGAATACTAGACAAAAACGCAGTACCTGCAGTGTATTTACCAAAAGTGCAGCATATGCTGTGTATTCTAAGCTATTCTTCCTTAGCAGTTGGTGCATGGGGATGTGCAATGCATATCTGTCTGATGTTTGGAGATTTCGTGGATTGTTTTGCATGGTTTGTTTCTTCACGTCGGTGTATTTATTTATCAGAATCCATCTAAAGATCTAAAGTGTCATTATTCCGAAAGTGGACCTGAAGGAAATTAAATACACCGACTTTTTTTTCTTTGAAAGGACTTTCAACAAAAAAATCAAAAGGCTGAAAACAGATCCGAGGTTAAGGATTTAACTCATTGCAGACATAATAAAAATAATAAACCAAAAAAGGTGTTTGGTGAAAAGGTGCTGTTTTTCAAATCATCCTTCTCAAATCAACCTTCCATATACAAGCAGTGCGGATGGATAAATTATGATTTGAAATGTTGAGCTGATTTGGCAAACGAGATTTATTGGATCTTCTGATTTTGTATAATGTTTTTCCAAATAATAGGAAACAATTCTGGAAAGATTTGGAAATCGGTCCCTCATCGTCAAGAAATCTAATAAACTTGAATTCATAATCGTTAATAGTATAAATTGATGTGTTATTTGAGCACTAAAGTAATTTTCAATGTTTCATCAACATTTTTGCATTATAGTTTCTTGAATTCGAACATTATTTATTCAACAAGTTACTAGACATAAAAGCCGTATGTTAACACTATACCTATAATGATGAAACAGTATGTATACAGGGTGTCCCTCCGGGAACTGCTTCGGGGAGTTCATAAGTTGATAAGTGCTATCTGGCTAAAATATTTTGAAGATTGTGTCACTTCCGGTTGTACCGGAAGTGGACCCCAACTTCGTTATTTCAAATGGGACACCCTGTATATTATCAAGGTTTTTAGATTTTACGCATGATTCTAAACATGTTTGATGTATAATGTCCTATACCCAAGTCTAACCTTTTTCGAAATATTTGAAATTTTAAGTTGAAAATTGCGTTTGCAGACCGAATTTTTTTTTATTTTTGGACACGATCTTTTATTTTCGATTGTGTATCGATTTATTCGTAGGTGAGGACCTAGTTCAGTGGAATTTCGATGTCAATTCGATTACAGCTATACAGGGCGTTCACCAGAAAATGATATAGATCCGGTTGAAAAAATTATTGTAAGTCAATTTTTTCAAATTGAAACCTCCCAATTTTATATTCTCATTCGATTCGGCATCGAAAATGAAGCTAACTTTAAATAAGGTTATCTATTCCTACAATAAACAGTTTTCGGAATATTGTCTAATTAACATGTCTCAGTTAAAAATAATAAATAGATTTAAGTAATCTTCATTCGAATAATTCAAACGAGCCGGCATGATTGATTACAATGACATTTTCGTGGCAGTTGATTGTTTCCAACGCAACTGCGGGCGCCATGGCCAAAGAATAAGTAAACTGAAGAATACGAGATTTTCTGAAACTGAGACATGTTAATTTGCCAATATTTCGAAAACTGTTGAGTGTAGGCATAGATAACCTTATTCAAAGTTAGCTTCATTTTCGATGCCGAATCGAATGAAAATATAAAATTGGGGGGTGTCCATTTGAAAAAATTGACTTACAATATGTTTTTCACCCGGATCAATATCATCTTCTGTAATCGAATTTATATCGAAATTCTACACTGAACTGATAGGTCCTCTCCTACGAATAAGGCGATACACAATCGAAAATAAATGATCATGTCCAGAAATAAAAAAAATATTTTTCGGTCTGCAAACGCAATTTTCAACTTGAAATTTGAAATATTTCGAAAACGGTTAGACTTGGGTATAGAACATTATCTCGAACATTATACATGGAACATCGAGTGGAACATATTCAGAATCATATACGTTGAATCTAAAACCTTGATAATTTACACTGTGTCCCATTTGAAATAACGAAGTAAACCTATGGTTTTCTATATATTGATCGATGCAGTTCCCGGAGGGACACCCTGTATACTTGCACATAGGGCATTTGTTCTTTGTAATGGCAATACAACTTTTTGTAGTATATGCTTTTGCTAGCAGAATAACGTGTAGTATTTGAAAAATGGCAATTGTTTGTATAGTTGTAGACAATACAAAATGACGAAGTTACCTAAGAAAAAGGTATATCACTGCGCAAGTGACCATGAGGTATATTTGCCAAAGTAAGATTCAAATAGTCTCCATCATATCTCAAAAGGACTTTTTTGTACATACGGCACTTTCGTTTAGCAGGTCATACTTGTTGTATACGTGTATATGTATATACAGGGTGTTCTAAAATTACACGTCTGCAAATCCTTGCAGGAGAAATAAAGGTTCCTACATGCATTTTCTGCTTATTATTTCAGTGATACACAGGGTGCAACTGAAAAAATTTAAATTAAAAAAATACATTATGATTCATAGTTGTTAGACGCTGTTATAGAATTAATAAGCACATATAGGTAATTCTGGCACATCCGGAACTCGACAAATAATCATCTGGAATTATGATATTTGATTTTACAGTTATGTAAAATTGTTAAGAAAACATTACTATATCGTACCCCTACCACCTCCTCATCAAAGCCACTATATAGAAATAAGGACATGTAACAGGGTGAATTTATGGTTCTCGCAAATATACAGGAAATGAGACACGAATCTTGATCTGTGTATTCTCGTGAATTATGTCGCCACTCAACATAGGTTCCCACAAGAAGATGCTGACATTGCTGATCCCACAGTTTGGATTCCCTGAATCCACCGTTTCCATGAAATCAGCAAGATCGTCGTGTTCCCAGCGAGAGCCGTTCTGCAGTCAGTTCTTAACTCAACTCCGTATGTTAAACATCTCTTGTACATAATTTGTCAATCATACGTGTATACGAAAAATAAAGTTTTTAAAAAGGGACTTCGAGCTATCGGAAATATTATTGGCGCAGTCGGTAGGATATCCGGGTTATCGCGTATCGAACGTGGTGATTTCGTTTTAACGATTGACTGGATATCGAAAATTGTTGGTTCGTTGTGGAGGTGTTTGAAGAGGACCGTCTAGCAGAGACCCGTCTGAAGCCCTACATCAACGAAGCATCGAGAATTGGAACCATATCGTCCATTTCTGCAAAGATCGAACTTCTGGAGGAGACAGGAATCGCAAATCCAGGACTCATCTTTATACCTATTAGGAAGGATATGCTTGAAGTAACTCTATTATTATTGTGAGTACATACTTGAATGTCTATCGAAGATTTATCAAGAATTCTTGAAAGTATAAATTTGCGTGATCCTTCAACTGACTCTGAAACTGATCGTACTCCCGAAAATTTATTTAAAACCGAACCTATAATGAATCAATTCAAATCTGAATATTTGAACTGTATCCCCGAATTCAACGGGAATCCAAATGAATTAAATCGATATATTTCAATTTGTGATCAAATTATTACAAATTTTTATGATGCTGCTAATCCTGGTAGTTTCCATAATACTTACTTATTGAATTCTCTTATATCTAAACTGACTGGCAATGCTAGATTGGTTGT